ATCTTGAGCTCTGCATTTAACTAGTGCCCTGTATTTGACCCAGGAAAATGGAAAATTACCTAGAGTACAAGTCCTATGAAAAAAGCAAAACGAGCTGCACCCATAAGAAAAAAATTAACTGCTCAACAAAGAATCAGGATATAGGTATCAACCAAAAATTATTGTATGAGTCTAGCTAAATTGTTTCCAACAGGATGTTATTTTGTGGTTCTTTGTTTTAATAGCTTTATAATCTTCCAGTTCAGGGTCACTTAGTGAGACTCTGAAACAGGGGTCCACACTCGTGATCACTGAGCTCAGATAATTCAATTCCAAATTTATCAACTTGACTGCTTGGATTCCTGTACTGTTAAAGAACCCGATTCGGTAACTACTTTGAAGGTAATGATGGTACTGTATCAAATCTTGCTATTCTCTTATTTTCTTATGAAATTTTGTTTTTTACTGGTCAAATAAAAAATAGACACAATTAAATATTTAATTAACAGTAAGTGAAAAACTAGGACCAATAAAAAGTAAGGACTAATGAAACAAGTTGTATAAATCAAGTAAAAATCGGTGATATTGATGAATTCACTTTGAGTATCCTAGGCACAATGACACTATCAAAATGTAAAAAGGAGTAACTCATAAGGACCATGAGTATGAAAGGCATCATGCAAAATGATTGAGGTGATTAGAAGAAAAATGAGAGCTATGGAAACACTTACAGGGGGATAATTTGTATACACGTGGGAAAATGTATCAAACGATGTGCTAAGGATGATGTCTAACATGAAAGCAATGTTATTGTGCAGGTAGAGAACACTGACTATATTCTGTGAAAATAAAGCTAACAACTCCAAATCCTATCAGGAGTAGTTGATTAAACTACATAGTCATAAGGGACATTTTTTTTTTAACTTGAGAAGTTTAGAGGATTTTTTTAAATAAAGAAAAATAAATTGCTGCTGAATTGATTTCAATTTAAGAAGCCATGCAAAATAAAAGAAATATTTAGCACACATTGAGGATATAAGGCATGTTACTTCAAAATTTTGTTTATATCATAATTTTTTTATTCAAAAAAGTTAATAGAAAGACAATTTCAAATATATGAATACTTGTATTTGCAGCTTTACTGAAAAAAATATTTTAAAGCCTAATCCTGTTAAGCAATCTAGGACTGAAAGCTAAGAATATGTGCATGTGGAAATAAAGCTTTAAAAGGCTTGTAAGTATTAAATTCACATAATTACAGAATTAAATTTATTTAAATAGAATAATTATCATCATAAAGAAGAATGCCTATGATACTTGCAGAAAAAATAATTTACATAGCATATGAATAAAGATTGAAATAAGATAATTAGAATCTACTCCCCCCCCCCCCAGTGCTTCTAAAAACCCCAGAGTGTGGTAAGGCTTTGAAGAAAATTATAGAAAATGTGGGATTTTTTTTTTTTTGCCAGTGTCTGGAAAATAAAGTTCTCAGAGTGTGTATGAAAGAAATGGAGAGAACATATTTGTATGAGATAAAGTATTACAACTAATTCTGATGAAATAGTTATCTGGGCTTATTAGCTAATAGAAATTTTTAAGTATTGCCCTAGTGCTATTAAATATTTTCAGGACTATAAATTGGGAATCACTTTTATAGACAAGCTTTGGAGATAATGTCACACCAATCAAAATTTAAATGTTCTTTTTAAAAGATGGATAATTCAATAGTTCACTGAATACTAAGAAAGAATATTGTATCCCGCAAGTATCCAAGATACATAATTACCAAGAAATTTCTCTTGTGCAAGCAGCCATTAGAGTAGGACGTGGGTTACAGGAAGGATGAGATTAGCTAATGCCTAAGCAGCAAGAACACAGTTTTCTTGTGGAATTCAGGATTAAAACATCCCGAGCCCCAAGCTTCACAATTCAGTCAAAAGCCTGGTTACTTTGAGAAGAGAAACACGAACTGCTGTATTCCTCTCTTTCTTGTCTCTGGGAGGAAAAACCCAACACCCACAACTTAAAGGACTTTATTATTTTGGTTCATATTTTAGTCCTTGGTCAGCTGACTGCAAAGAGGCAGAGCCTGATGAAAGGGTTTGGCGGAGGAGAGCTGCTCCAGTCATGGTGACCAGGAAACAGAGAATGGGCAGGACCCACTCAGGGAGATGAACTCTGCCAGCCAGCTGCCCTCTCTGACCATGGCACGTCCAGCTGTAGATATTCAAGTAGACTAATCCACTGATGAGCAGAGCAGTTTCATGATCCATGTATCTGGAGCCTATGTGAAAAATTTGGGGGATACCTAAAACTCAATCTATATACCTGTGGTTACAATGAAACTTTCTCTTTCCTAACAATAGCTCTTAGTTACTTCATTAGCAATGAGCTAACAATAATGGGAAAAAATTTCTCAAATCTGCCTCAACTTCAAATATCTTGGCTTTCTTAGAATGAGGCTGATTTCTTACAGTAATCTTTTGTTGGCCATTATTTTTCATAATTAGACCATTTTTTGATTTTATGGAATGGCATATTTTCAAGGAGAAGTATGAATATAAATGTAGCTTGTGATTTTAACTATTCTTCCTTTGATGAACTGATTTAGTTGAAGAATAGTTAACATTGCATTAAATCAAGACATATGAGGTGCAATCAAAACATAAGATGGATTTTAAATTTAAAACATTTATTACTATAAAAGGCATGTTTTATTAGTTCCCATCAGAATACTTCCTTTTGCTGCAGAACACATGTATCCCATAGTTTTTGCCCTTCCTGGGTGAGTTTTAGAGGTTCTCATGAGACAATCAGGATGAATGGTCTGCCCAGTGGCATGCAGTAGAAGAGCAGGCTCCTAAGATCACAGGAAGTTCTTGTCCATATTGTTTACAGATCTGGCACCATGAGATTTATCGTTCTTCCCCAAAGTCACAATGACCATGAAAGGGAGACATTTTGAATCCATTCAGGACACCAAGGCAGCAAGGACAGTGCAGCGAAAGACCCTCAGGAAAGAGGACCCTGGGAAGCAAGGATGATGGGATATGTGTGCAAAGTAAGGGAAGAATTTTGAGGGAACTTACGGCAATGAGCCTTTTATTGAAATAATTAAACATTTAAAATATTCAGTATATTTTTTAATCACACTTCATCGATGGGGATTTAAAAGTGAATGAAGTGCAGTCCTGGCTCGTTAGCCACGGGCAGTGGGATGCCCACATTGGGTGCTGTTGTAACTCCGCAGAGCCATCTGACTTTGTGAGTCTGCATTCTAGGATGTATAATCAACTGCTTTAGAGATTAAATTTCTAACCTCCTAAATCCATTACATTATAACCTACATGTAATCATTAATGAGTAACTGCTAATTAAATACTAGATACTGTAGTGAAAATATTTTTGATCTTTGCAACAAAATACAGGTCATTGTGACACCAACAGGAAATAGCTCCAGCTGAATCAAGAATTAATCTATAAGCAGACTTGCATAAAGCCTTATCAGAAATAAATACATCTCTCAGTTTTATTCGCTGTCAGGATCTTCACATCTGTCATATATTGCATGAGATGAAGACTGAAAGCTCTGCTGAGAAGGGGGAGGAATGACAGCCATTTAGAAGCATCATGCAATGTTTCAAGTGAGAACTAGAAATAGTACTGTTTCACAAACAATAAACTTTTATTTTGGGCATGACAGATCTTGCATGATTGCAAAACTCCTTAAAGTGTTTACATTATTAAACAGATTCCCAGTTTCAATGCCAGATTGCAATAACGTCTTAGGTATAATAAACACTTGAATATTTGAGTCTTCTAGGGAAATTTCATATTCTTTATATTTTACTGCATAGGCAGCATAAAAAGTTTACTTAGTTTTATTATAGATAAATCACTGAATGGGTGACCTTATTGAATGTACTTCATAAAAATCTCCCTCAAATTCACTGAGCATTGTGTGTTTTTATCCTGGTTCTTCATATTTGCCTCAGTACTATGTGATGCCAGTTTCCTCTAATTGATCATGATTCTCTGCCTTTAGCAAAATGTTTTATTCTTTTCATTTTTTTTCTTCTATAATTTCTTTCACCTAAAAGAGAACCTTCAACAAACCAAGTAACGCAAAAACCACTTGGTGAAACAATAATCTGATACCCTGAGCATTGCGTTTGTGGGTGAGCAGAGGTCTTAGTTGATGAACTTCAGTGGTAAAACATTTGTTTGGGGATTGAAGAGAGAGAAAGCATTTTACAGTTACAGTGTATTTGGAAAGTTCATACTTGAGTCAGACTATATGTGAAAAGTTTCAAGAGAAATAAATAATAAAAACTTAAAAACATGTTTGCTGTTGGGGTAGAATACACGGTACCAGTACGTTTTGGGAGGGGCATTCTGCATTTTAAAATCAAAGTACAAATAAACTAGAGCCAATGAATATCTTTAATAATTTCACACACTATGCTAGACATTATCAATGCTTCTGGGGATAACAAAAGCTATCCCAGTGAATGAATTCACTTAAATGTTTCTTATTTGAACCAGACATTAAAAAGTATAGTAATGAGCTATGTTTTTTTATTCACTTATATGATGAGACATTTTAATACAAATTATGTTGTCTACACAAGATTTTTGTGGAATTATTATTACACAGGAATGTCCCGATTTTTAAAATGATAATTGGACACTCATGGCCATTAAATCGTGCTACCTCTAAAAACGAAGCAGTGTTTTTAAAATGTTGGTATAACTGACGTTTCTTAGCTGCATCTAATTTCTCCATTTATTACCTAACTACTTGTATTGGTTTATAACAGAACGTTCCCTAAAGCCTCGTTCATTCCAAAGAATGCATTTGGGGAGGTGATTGGATCATGGGGTTGTAATACTTACACCGGATTAGTCCACTGATGAGTTTACAGCTTTTGAAAGGCGAAGCCTGGTTGGAAGAGGTGTCACTGGGGGCGTGGCCAGGCAGGTCTCTCTCGTTCCTCCTCTCTTGATTTCTCGGCCCGCTGTCCACCATGCGATGGACAGTCTCTATTTGGCCAGGACCTGTGCCGTGCTGCCTTGCCTTAGAGTCAGCCGACTTTGGACTGAAATCTCTACAAACTGTGAGCCCAAATGAATCTCTCTTTCTCTAAGTTGTGGGTGTCAGGTATTTTTGCCTCAGTGCTAAGAAAGTAATGTGTTGGATGTGTTAGTGATATTTATCCTTCGCACCTGGGAGAACATTGTGAATCACAAACAGACAGAGGAGTTGGTAGCTGGCATCTTCCTGCTGGATTTGACTGCTGCTATTTGGAGTCGCCAGGAGAGGGAGCAACGACCTATGAAACCCGTTTTCTCTCAGTGGTTTTTGCTTCAAATTAAAACCTGAAGTGGGAGAGATGAAAACAGGAAGAAGAGACAGATTATAAAAATAAAAGCGGTCAAATTTTAAAAAACAGTCCAATTCAAAGTATTTTTAATTCTGGAAGATGATCATAAATTTAAAATATTTATGCTCAGTAAGCTAGACAAATATAAATCCTGATCAAACAAGAGTATTTTTAAAAATTATCATTGTATTTAGATACAAATGCTAAGTGCTTTTACGTCCAGAGCATGTTTTCTTGTGACAGCCATGCAGATACACATTCAACCCAGGATAAGCATAACTGGAAAAAACCGCCTTTCTTCTGGACCTTGGGGGTCCAGCCCAATTTCTTTTTGGAACTCTCCCCTTAATAGTATCAGTCCTCAGAATTAATTCTTCCCCCTCATGAGCATTGAAAATTCCATTACACATCTGTTCACTGTATCCATATGCTGAGTGATTTTAGGGTGCCAGACACCATGCTGAATTGAGAGTGAAGAGATAGTGAGATAATCCTCATCTTGAAGCAACTCCAAGACTAAAGAAAATGAGAAAAAAAAAAAAAAAAAAAGAATCTAACCAGAGGGAGGGGGTGTGCTTATTTACAGTTTTATTTTGCAGATGAGATAATTGAGCTGTGAGCTTAAGTAATTTCTAAAAAAGAGCACAGAGGTCAGTTGGCCTCCAAATATGTGTGATTGTTTTCTTCCAGCATACCAGTAATACAATACATTTTTAATTTCCTCATAGGCCACTGAGAATCACAGCAAATTGTCTAGTCACATGTGTGGATGTAGTTGAAGCTTATTGGTAACTCATGAGTGTACATAATAATTTGACAGCGTTATCTCTACATCAAGAACTTTTTTGGAAAATCTTGCTTGTAAGAAATGATAAAATTCTCTTGTACTCTTGATGTAAGATGTAACTATATATAGAATTGAGAAGAGAAATGTAAAATTTGCCAGAGTACTCATGTAAAACATAAGCATTAATTAAAACTCAGCATATCTTCCTGTGTGATGAACCATGCTCTGAGCATAGACTTGAGACCCAATTAAACCAGTGTGATAATCAGCTACTAGGAGAACATTCCAGAACATGTTGTGGTAGAGTTGGAGCAGGGAGACAGATCGTTTGCAAGTGGGAGGGAGGTGAAGAGATGGAGCAGGAAAGGAAGAAGAGAGGATTTAATAGAATGAAGATGTGTCACAAACATGGATCAGCTCTCCGTGATGAATGTGGTCATCGTGTGCTGCAAACGTGTAGCAAAAAATCTTTTTTTTTTTGTAAAAAATATAAGAGCATTGAAAGAAACTATTATGGAAATGGGGAGGAGCCGAACAGTCCCAAGGAAACCTTTATAAGAAATACCACATTGACAAGAATTTAAATGACCAGTGATATATTTGGACAGTTCACAGCAGCTGGTGGTTACTGACTGCAAAGAACTTGGAAAGAGAGATTCTTCATTTAAGATTCATTTTTATCTCAATTTTATTAGATAACATATAAATAAGAGATTCAACTTCATTTGTCTTGAGCAAGGTGTGTGTACAAAACAAATATATACATATATGGAGTATATGGAATATAATTGTAATCAAGTTCTTCACATACATCTATATTATATTTTAGTAAGGAAATAACTTTCCATGGAATTAAAATAAGATAAAGTGAACATGCGATGATCTAATAAAGTAGAAAGCAGAGTTTGACACATGCACAAGACAAGAAATTTAACATTCTCAAAAATTATCTCAGTATTCAGAGTCATGAGAAAATTAAAATTCATCTTCCAAAATCATTGATCTTTTTAGCTTCAAAAGTTTGGACTGGTAGAGTGAGATGGCAAACATGGGTGAGAAATAAATATCATTCAGGAATCTTCGTGGTAGTCAAAGGATGAACAGAGTCCTGGACGGAACTAGAGTGTTTTATTTAACATTTTTCTTTCAGTGAATACTCTGAAAACAGATTTCACATAATAATAAAATTGTAGGAGACACATTCACCAAAATATAAATTTGTGATCATCAGTATTATACTATTGTGGAAACCAGACAGAACATAATATTATAAAACAAGAGTGAAATTGATAGATTTTGCTGGAGACAGCTAATAATAAGTTATGTTGGTACAGCATGTGTGGGAAAAGATTAGGTTATTTTTTTTTTTTTTTGTGCTTCACATGGTCTTAAAATATATAGAGCTCTGTTTTGTTGTTCAAACTGGTCAATGCAGGCTAATGTCATTTTTAGTGTCACTTTAGAGATAGCTGAAGGGTAAGAAAAATGAAAGTATATCTATTTCTCTGCAAATTGCCCTAGTGAAATAAATCAGATAAGGACATTAAATATTACCCGCTTTCTTTTATAGGAGAAAACCAAAGTAGAAATCATGGCAAGACCAAAATAAAGCTGGGAGGAGCTGGGAGGAGCTGGGAGGGAGCTGTGGCTTTGGGAAGGAGACATAGGGATGGAAAATAGGAGGGAGGAGGAAGAGTAAGGGCCAAGATGTCACACAGCTGTGTACTGACGTCCCAAGGTAAATGTGCTTATTGTACGTTGCAAAACAAATACTAGGAAAATTAAAAAGTTGGTAAGTTAGACCTCAGCCCATGCAAACTGAGTAGATTGTTTAAGTGCACAGCCTTCTCCCCCCTGACCTATTGGACTGTGGGCCAGGGATGTAGGCTGCCCTACTCTGGGAATGGACTGCCTGTGTGGGGGAGTGTGAGATCTCACAAATGACTGTGAATGTTTCACTAAAGCATGAGTAGTCTCCAACGTCTGGCTATTACAAATTGTACTGTTGTAAACATGGCTTTACATATATCACTGTGGTGTGACTTTTTCAATTTTTCTCAAAAAACACCCAGAAAAGGAATAGCTGGATCAAGTAGGACCTCTAATCCTAGTTCTTTTGCAGAATCTCCACACTGATTTCCCCAGTGGTTCTACATTTCCACCAAAAGTAGAGAAGATTTCCTTTTCCCCCACAGCCTCACCAGCATTTGATTGATTTCTTGATGATAACCATTCTTTCTGGAGTAAAATAGAATCTCATTGTTGTTTTAATTTGCATTTTTCTAATGACTAATGATGTTGAACATTTTTTTATATATGTATTTGCCATTTGTATTTCTTCACATGAGAAATATGTATTCACCCCAGATGCCCATTTTGGACTGTGTTTTTTAACTGGGGGGGTACTGATTGTTTTCAATTCTTTACATGTTTTATATATAAGTCCGTTGTCTGAAGGACAGCTGACTATAATTTTTACCCACTGTGTGTGCAATTTTTTTCACTCATTTGTTGATTTTTTGTTGTTGTTGTGCAAAAAAATGCTTGATAAGACTGAATCCCATTTGTTTATTTTTGGAGGGCGTCCAGTGCAGTCTGGGATTTGTTCAGGAAGTGCCTGCCCGCACCTGTCTTCAAGATTCTTATCTATTTTTGTCTTCCAGGAAATTTAGTGTTTCTGTTTTAATACTTAGATCTTTGATCCATTTTAACTTGATGATAGACATGTGTCTAGTTTTAGTCTTTGACATCTGGCAAGCTAGTTTTTCCAGCAGCATTTATTACAGACTTTCTTCCAGTAAACATACTTGGCTCTTTTGTCAAAGATAAGGTGGCTGAGTGTGCTTGGGGTTGTGTCTTCATCTTCTGTTCTGTTCCACTGATGCCCAGGTTTGTTTTCTTGCTAGTACATGTCGATTTTATCACAGTACTTTTGTAATATTATTTCTAATTAAGAGTTGTGATACCCTCTGACTTGCCTTTGTTGACCAGCATTAAATGTGTATAACAATTTCAACTGAGAAATAGACAAAAAGATGTGATATTTTTATAACATAATCTTGGCCAAAAGGAAGGATAAACTTGAGACTTTCTAGGTAAATGGATGCAACTAGAGACCATACTCATACGTGAAATAAATCTAACTCACATGTGTAATTATTTTATTGTTTTCCTACTGTGAGAAATTGAAAGGGTAAATAAGAACCAAAATGTACAATAGATATTGTGAAATGGGAATAAACTGTTCAAAAGGAAAGAGAAACTAGGATGGGGGAAATATATATAGAAGATAATTATACTGCTAATATCTCTTAGTTCCTCAAAAAGAAAGGTTTGTGATTATATTGTGTGATCACTGTTTCATACTTGTATTTTGTCATATTAGCAACTGCTTTGAAGATAACGATATGCAGTGTGTTAACCATTGTTAATCTCCTAATCTCTTGTTTTGAAATTTTGTATCACTGTTTATATTATTTTCTTCTCTTTAAAATAATAAAAAGGATAGCCTTAAAATGTGGTGGAGGGAATAGGTCCATTCCCTGGATGGCCCTGGGATCCTAGACAACTTGGTTTGGAAACTTGCAACTTTAGTACTGGTCTGGGGAACGTGCGAACAGGCACCAGGCTGAGGTTGAATGAGCAGCAGGTACCACAACTCAGGTGGGCGATGCCAAGGTAGAGAGTTACTTACCGCTTGTTCAGTCAACAATTAGAGTAATAATATTCAGGCAGTGCCTAGCACTGACAGGCTTGAATTCGCCTTTGCATAAATATCTCTATTCTGCAGGGAATTTTATCAGATGAGATTCCATAGAACTCCTAAAACCTGCCTTCACATATATTTTGTCATGCAGCAAAATATTCTGGGGTATCAGCTTCTGATCTTCAGATTATTTAAGCAAGACGTTTACGGATAGCTACTATTATTGATGCGAGGGAGAAT